AGACTGGATAAAGAAATTATGGGTCATGTACTCTATAAAATACTATACAGCAGTAAAAAAATACAAAAAATAAAAATAAAAATAAAAACAATGAAATCTGGTCATTTACAACAAAATGGAGGAATCTGGAACACATCATGCTGAGTGAATGAAGCCAGTCCCAAAGGGATGAATATCATATGTTCTCCCTAATTGGTGACAACTAACCAACCACAAAAAAGGAAACCTGTTGTAGTGAAATGGACATTACGAGAAACAGTGGATTGATCAGCCCTTTTCCTGACTGTTGATGAACAACTTAATATTTTATCCCTTTTACTGTTTTTTGTTTTACTTAATACTATTGGTTGAACTCTGTAATTAATACACAAATATTCTTAAGTGTTGAAATTTAACTGAAAAGTGATCCCTGTTAAATATAAGAGTGGGAATAAGAGAGGGAGGAGATGTACAATTTGGGACATGCTCAATAGGACTTGCCCCAAATGGTAGAATTAGAAATGTGCCAGGGGATTCCAATTCAATCCCATCAAGGTGGCATGTACCAATTCCATCTCACTAGCCCAAGTGATCAGTTTCAATTCACAATTGATCACACTGATAGGTCTAAGAGTCAAAGGGATCACACAAACAAGACTAGTGTCTGGGAATACTAACTGATAGAATCAAAAGGGGAGAGAATGATCCAACATGGGAAGTGGGATACACAGCAGATTCATAGAATGGCAGATGTCCTAAACAGCACTCTGGCCTCAGAATCAGCCCTGAAGGCGTTCAGATCTAGCTGAAGAGCCCATGAGAGTATTTCAGGCATGGAAAGCCAAGACACTCTGGCAAAAAAAAAAAAAAAAAAAAAAAAAAAAAAAAAAAAAACAACCTTAAATGAAAGATTTCTGCGAGTAAGACCCCAGTGGAAAGAATGGGCCATCAAAAAAGGAGGTACCTTTCTCTGAAGGGAGGAGAGAACTTCCACTTTGACTATGACCATGTCTAAATAAGATTGGAGTTGACGAACTCAAAAGGCTTCCATAGCCTTGGCAACTCATGACAAGAGCCTAGCAAGACTATTGATGCCATAAACAAGAGTGTCAAATTGTTAAGTCAACAACAGGAGTCACTGTGCACTTACTCCCCATGTAGGATCTCTGTCCTTAATGTGTTGTTCAATGTGAATTAATGCTATAACTAGTACTCAAACAGTACTTTACACTTTGTGCTTCTGTGTGGGTGCAAACTGTTGAAATCTTTACTTAATATATACTAAATTGATCTTCTGTATATAAAGAGAATTGAAAACGAATCTTGATGTGAATGGAATGGGAGAGGGAGCGGGAGATGGATTGGTTGCGTGTGGGAGGGAAGGTATGAGGGGGAAAATGACACTGTAATCCAAAAGTTGTACTTTGGAAATTTATATTTGTTAAGTAAAAGTTAAAAAAATATTTCTGTTGCCAAGGTGCCAATTTTAAACTTTGTGCATACAACTATCAATAGGTGTGGTTATATTATAGAGGGAGCAAGGCAGAAGATTGTCTATGTTTCTAAGCTGAGCTTGAGTTCCTTGTGCTTTTATTAAAGGGATAATTTGATCCTGAGTTTTATATGTTTTAAAAAGAGAATAAGTAGATTTCACTGGGAGGGAGGTATTCAACATTGATTCTGGTATCTTGACAGCATAAATGTGAAAACAGGTAAATTTTTTTAAAGAATCATGGGTCTCGGAATGTCAGATCCTAGTGTAACTCTTACATGTTCTATTCTTTTCCATTAATCATCCATATCATTGTCATAAATGAAACCCTAGAGTAACTCTTACAATTTTGAGAAACAATTAGTATTGTTTTTATTTCTGAAGGGCAGCATCATTGAAGTCATTGAAGAAGAAATGATTTGCCACAATATTTTCTGGTTATTTTTAACAGGTACATTTTTTATTTTATTGCAAGACACACAATCATATATATATATATAATGCATAATGATCATCTTCTGGAAGTATAAGATATAAATATTATACATTATAATAAAGAATATATGAATGCATTTTTGATCCAGAGAAGAAAATTACCTTAGTGCAAGTAAGTTTATGCCCTTTTTGGACAAGATTTTCACATTTATATTGACTCATCCAAATCAGTTTTGCTTAGAAATTATATCTCATTGAATGGACATACAAACTTGTGAGTTTTCTCCTCAAAATACTTTAATTCAAAATCAATGAAATTCATTCCTTTTATTTAGTCATTTTATTATGCCCCAGTACTAGATGAACCATATAATAGATATATAGGAGCAGGAATTCGTCCTTGTGTTTATAACACCAATTAAGATGCCTGCATCCCATATTGGAGTACCTGGGTTCAACAGCCACCTCTGGCTTCTGACTCTAGCTTCCTGATAATGCAGATCCTGGCTCAAATAACTGGGTTTCTGCTATCTTCATGGGAAAACTGGAATGGGATCCTGACTCTGGCTTAGCCTAGCGCTCATACATTTGGGGAATGAAACACTAATTGGAAGCTATCTAAATATTTATCTATGTATCTATCATCTATCTATCTATCTATCATCTATCTCTCACTGTCTCTTGACCTCTCAAAAATTATTCATAAATGAAAGTTATACAAATTTAAGAACTGCTAGGTAGCAATATTGTATCACAGAATAGAATCAATTACTTTAGATACATGTAAATATTCCTTGATTTTTTCCAGGTCATGTTCCCTTTCTTAGTATTAAGCCTGGAGCTTTGTCTTGAACTGTTTGCATAGAGGATGTGTCTAGCTTTATAAATGTCTGAGATACAATGTTTCCACACTTGTCACTTGTCGCCATTAGAGGTTTGGTTTCATCCTTGATGCTGCCTCTTCCACAGGCAGTTCACCTCTCTGTACTTTCCATGACCTTCAGGAGGACCTGTCTTCCAAAAATTGTTCATGCAGTTGATCTCAAGGTTAGAAATAAGCAATTCCAGTCTCAATGAGACACATCAGAGGCACCCTCTATTTGAGGCAAGCAAAAGGGAATATCGAGAGATGGGAGGTCTCTGAGAGGCAATGGGGCTTGGACAAATGCATTGTGTGGTAATAGTGAACAAATGGTGATGTTATCACTGCTTCTCAGCAGTACACACAGGCACACGTATGTATGTGCCCTCTCCCTCTCTCTGTTTGTCTCTCTCTTTCTCCCTCTCACACACACACACACCCTACACATTTTTGACAAAGAAACACATTTGAGTGGTATTTTTGCTATTAAATGTGTTTCCCTTTTTTTTAAAACCAATGCCCTTAATGCAACATTCTCATCTTCTCTCTCCTCTTTCAGTTTAGGGGAAGTCAGTTTTAACAATAATCAATAAGCTTGGAACACCCAATACAGACACACTAGACATATTTCTCTAATCTTGTAGGCTGCATACTTACATAAGAAAAGTTGCAGGATAATTAGGCAAGAGTTCAGACACCAATCACAGCAATTGATATGGAATTGTTCTTTAAATAGAACTTTTGCTTCATTCCATCATTGTATCTCTGTTACATTTTAGCCATGATTAAGAGTCCACCAAGAAAATCTCAAAGGTTTTGCTTTTCCATAGATTTTATGCTTTCTATCTCAGTAGTGTTTGCTCCTGGAACTACTCTTTGTGGGGATATCCCTGTTTTACTGCAACCAAGGTTTTTAACTACAAGGTTCATGCCAACCAACTTTTAAGCCATTCTTACCCACCTTCAATTATAATAATGCCATGAACACCTAAGAATTTTAATAAAATTTAAGAAATATTCAAGGGAGCATTTTATTTTCATTAGGCAAGTCCTTCAGTGCTGCTTGCCTTCATCAGTCATGGATGCCATGCAAATCTAAAATAGGGGCAAACATGAACATGGTGCAATCCTGAAGCCACATGTAAAACTTTCAATACAAAGACTGTTTCCACCAGGAGAGAGGTCATTCGCTAGAAAGAAAATGCTTGGTGAACAGAGCTTTTAGATACAGTGGTGTCTATAGTTCTGTAGGTCTATACATCCAATTTTTGTATTAAATTCAACATAATACTGCCTAATAAGATATAGGCTTGGCAATGGGTATTATTTGTGAATTATCCCACCTTCTTCCCTGGTAAATTACAGAAAGGGCCATTACCTCTAAAACCATAAGTTTCAGGGGACAGGAGGGAAATTTTGTATCATCTGGAAGCTTTAGCAAAATTACCCTAAATGTGCCGTACATAGCTTCATCCTCAGCAGGCGTGTCCTTCAGAGAATACTCTGAAAGGTGCATCCAAGCCTCTTTGAGCAATTCTACCTCCTTTTAAAAGACACAAAATAATATCTTGAGATCTATACAAATCAAAGAGAATCTCTTCTATGAAAACAGAGACTCTGGTAACATTCATAAAGAGATGCTGCAAATCTGCCAAGGTTACAACTGGGAGTGAGTTAAAAGTTGTGGGATCCATTACCATGTGAGTTATGAGCACTATTAAAGGACTAATTGGTGCTCATGGGGCCTGGAAGTGATAGCACTGTGAATGATTCCCAGAGAGTAGCTTTTGTTGTGACAAAGTATCTCAGCTTTAACCTTTAATAACTTGGGGAAGATAATTAGTATGCACTTGAGAAATTTCCTGGCTAGAGGGCAAGCCCATTTCTTATTTGCACATAGAATATTATTTACAGATTAAACTATATACACTTGTGGTATTTAAGCCACTTTATATTTTGTGACAGCAGGGCATGCTTTATCAGATGGTTTTTTTTAACAGAATACCATGCTAAAATAAAAATAACAACATCTGTAGCTTTCAAGAAATTACAGGATCAGAAATCAACTTTTATATGTTTAAATAAGTTCATAAATATCAAGAAAATGTTCTACTGTACATGAACTTCAGATACTTCAGTTGTGGTTCCAATTCATACTTCGGCTAGAGTTCTAACCACCCAGGCACAGGAAATGCATGTCCACACAGCATAAAGCAAGCTGAGCATAAGCCCTAGAAGAGGTTCTTTTTATTTCTTTTTTTTTTTTAGATTGTTGCTGTCAATATCAGATATCTGGATTGGATGTTCACTAAGTTCTGAAACAACACTTTACTTTTTTTCTCTTCCTTTCTTCTTAAACAGAGCTTTGTAACTACATTGCATAGGAAGGCCACAGCAGATGAGTGCTGAACTAAATCTAGGTACCCAGAATGTAAAGACCCATTTCATGGTTCACCAAAGAAACTTGGAGTCGGTCTTGCTTCCCTGCCCTAGAGAAGAGCGCATTTGCTTCCCAGACTTTTGAACTTCCTCTCTACTGCTTGATGCCCGCAATGACCTGGGTTCTTAATGCAGCCTGCAGCTTACAACTTAGACCTTGAGGTTTCTAAAAGTTTGTTAAAAAATTCTTCCTCTCCATCTCAGACTGCTGTAGTTATCTGGGTGACACCCAAATCATTGAACTCTTCTCTGCCAGAAGAAAGGTAAGAAGACATCTCCACGACTAGTCATACTGGTTTGTTCATCCCATCAACATCCCTCATGTAAGCAGGATCCTGGATGGTGTTTCTGACTCTGCTGGTGCTCTGTCGTTCCATCCTCATCTTAATGGGGAAGCAGAAGTCTCTGAAGCACCGCTTGAAGTTTTCATCAAGAAAGGCATAGAGGATGGGATTGAGGCTGCTGTTGGTGTAGCCCAATGCAATGCAGAAGTAGTAGCTGGAGAGAGCAGCCGTACTGTGGGAGGTGCTGCCCAGTGCCTCCACAAGGATGAAAATGTGGATAGGGGTCCAGCAGATGATAAAGACTGCCACCACCACCAGAACAAGCCTGGTGATCCGGCGCAGGTTACGATCCTTCTCTCGGGAGCCAGAAAGGAGCCGTACACTCTTCAGGCGCAGGATCATGAGGGTGTAGCAGATGATGATGATGAGCACGGGGATCACAAATGCAAAGACAAAGACGCAGATCTTCATGAACAGGTCCCACCAAGAGTAGTCATCATCCGGGAACTGCAAGGAGCATTCGATAACATCCACATCTACAGGAAAACAAAACCAACAAAGTTTGTTATTGCTGTTCCCATAGATGCAGAGTGTTCTGAATGTGAATTTTAATCACTGCGATTGCAAAGGTCCAATAAGAATGAGATGATATTACCTGATGGACATCATCAAATTAGAAACAACTGCATATCCATATTGTATTACCCAGGCTATCTGTGTGCACAGAACACTGAAGCTAGCAAATCGCCACTTACATTAATACACAGGATGCTGTAGAATAAATAAGATTATACAGCAACATTGCTTATCTACTGATGGCTTTCAAAAGAGCTAAATTGTTAATTTACTGCATGACACTTACTTATAAAATGTTTCCATTTATTAACAGTTCTCTAAGACCTAATGCACTGGCAACAAAAGCTAATGTTTATTTGTAATAAATGACTAAATATTTAAACCTTGCCATTGAGTTTAAAAGCAGCCAACTTGTCTAGCAAACATTAATTGTTTTATTCAGGTAAATAAAACTGATATGAAATTTGTCTAAATATGACCCAAGTGTTGTGATTTAATGGAACCAACTGCATGTACTGTAATGAAGGGCATTACTGAAATATGGGTAACACTTCTGGAAGAGAAGGAGGAGAAAAAAGTAAAGGAGGAGACGAGGGAAAATGAAGCATGACAGAGAACTGGAAAAAAAGAATCATCATTGTAAGATTTCGGAGTAAATCAGACATATTTTTCATCATGGTAACATTAATACATAATTCAGATAAAATAAATACCTTTATATGATACTTAGGAAATAGTTTCATTTGCTCTTCTTCTGTTTGCTGGGTAGTATTATTTTGTAGGAACCTTCATATTAGAAAGAGCAGGGTCTCAGGATCAGTACCTTTTAAACTATTTGCATAGAAGCTCACTGTTCCCAAGCACAAAGCAGTCCACACTTTCTCCTGTTTCTGAGAAATCAAGAATTACAGAGCAGGCAGAACTCTCCTTGTCCTGGTCCTTCCTCATGGATGAAATAGTGATAAGCAACACTTGAGTGTAATATTTGCAATGGAAAATAAGTCCACTTTAATTTCCTCCCATTTTCCTCTCTGTTTTGCTGCACAAATTAATCTTCTTCCCAAACTGGTGGAGCTTTTCTCCCATTGCATCTGCACACATTTATCTATAACGACTCCTTCCTGGAAAAGCCACATCTTCATTTCCTCTTTCAAAAGCATAATTGAAATCCATTTACTCTAAGATGTCATTTTCTGACAATGATTAGAAGGAATGTAGTGATTAAGTCTACCAGTGAAATATGAAATGTAAAAATCAGCTCTTCATTTGTCCTAGGACGATCATCTTTATTCTTCAGCCCATTCCCCTCATGCTCACAGTGGATATGCAGCATCTCCTCTCCAATTGGAGTTGTTACACACAAACACCTAGGTCTCTAAAGAGTTCCATGCAGTTTGTTTTCATTTTTCGTAGGTATGAGGAAACAAATCCTGCATGTGATTAATCATATTTGAAAATGTTTATCTGATAGAGAAAGTTGGGCATTTCTTGAAAGTTACCAAATATTATAGCTTATTATCTGCTGTGGCTCTGCTGGAAACTCATTTAATAGTTTCAAAAGAAACAGATCATGCCACATTAAAAAACAAAGGATACAAGAGGTGGAGATTTGGTCTAAGGTTAAAATGCTGCTTGGAACACCAGTATCACATATTGGAGTGCCTGGGTTGAGTCTTGACTGATCCTGATTCTATCTTCTGCTAATGCATATCCTGGGAGGCAGCAGGTAATGGCTCAGACAGTTGGGTACTTGTCACCTATATGAGAGCAGGATTGAGGTTCTGGCTCCTGGCTTTAGCCTGATCCAGTCACAGCTGCTGCAGGCATTTGGGGGAATGAACCAATATACAGGAGTTCCCTGTCTCTTCCTCTTTGTGTTTCAAATGAATTAATTAATAAGAAAGAAAGAAAGAAAGAAAGAAAGAAAGAAAGAAAGAAAGAAAGAAAGAAAGAAAGAAAGAAAGAAAGAAAGAGAAAGAAAAGAAGGAAGGAAGGAAGGAAGGAAGGAAGGAAGGAAGGAAGGAAGGAAGGAAGGAAGGAAGGGGATTTTTTTAGGAAAAGGATACGTGTCATCATACATGTGTACAAACCCACAGAATGTATAGCCCCAAAAGTGAACCCCAGTATAAACTCTGGGTGATAATGTGTCATTGTCATTCATCAGTTTTAATAAATGTCCTACTCTGGTGGGAGACATTGATAGTCATGGAGACTGTGCATGTGTGAGAGTGGGAGCTATAGGGAAACTCTATACTTTCTATCCAACTTTGCCATGAACCTAAAGCTGCTCTAAAAATTTGTCTATAAAAACCATGCATCGGCCGGCGCCGTGGCTCACTTGGTTACTTCGCCTGTAGCACCAGCATCCCATATGGGCACCAGGTTCTAGTGTTGGTTGCTCCTCTTCCAGGGCAGCTCTCTGCTGTGGCCCGGGAGGGCAGTGGAGGATGGCCCAAGTGCTTGGGCCCCTGCACAAGCATGGGAGACCAGGAGGAAGCACCTGGCTCCTGGCTTCAGATCAGCGTGGCGTTGGCCATAGCGGCCATTTGCGGGGGTGAACCAATGGAAGCAAGACCTTTCTCTCTGTCTCTCTCTCTCTCACTGTCTAACTCTATCTGTCAAAAACAAAGAAAAGAAAAACATGCATCATGAAAAATAAGCTATGATTTTAGTGCCAGCCCTTTTACTGTTACCTGAAAAGTTCTCACCGCACATATTCAATTTTCTGTTCTCACAAGTATCATGAATATCCCCAATAAACTGGAGCATTTAGACTCCTGTTGGAGCCCCCAAATAATATTATAAAGTCCAGAGTGACTGTTCTACTCCCCTCCCCCCAAGTGAATTTCTATTAGAAACAGAGATATGTCCATAGTTTTCTCTCTTTCTAGTAAAGTAAAATCCTAGAACAGTAGTTCTTATCTTGGATGCAGGCCAGAGTCATATGATGACATATTAAATGTCCTGACATCCATGCCACACTAGTTAAACCAGACCCTCCAGGGGCTGGACTCCAATAGCAGTGTTTTCTAAAGTATCTAAAGGGATTTCAATGTGCAGTCCAGAATAAGAACTACAGGGAGAACATCAATCATCCTATTTCCATGAGGCAAGAACAAATATGTCCAAAACAGAATGATTTTGCCCATCTATGGGTAACATCAACTTTTGAAGCTGGCTTTGAATGACCTACAGACAAACAACAAGACAGTGGTGTGGAGAAATTCTTTTAGGAAAAGGAAACAAGAACCTGAATAAGCATCTAATGAGTTAGGTTCCTCGTTACAGAGAATGAAAAGGAGTGAGAAGTTGTGCCTGGAATCTCTAGGTTGTGTTCCAAAAGTGCAACCTTATTTACTTGGTCTTCACCCCTCCAGACTCTGAGAAGCACTTCCAGAACAGAAGAGCCGAGCGCCTGTGTTCTCGTGTTGTCCATATCCTACTCTGTGTTCAGAGGAGGGAGAGACACAAAATCGATGTGTTTTCCATCTTCACAGGTGTAGGGGTTCTACGATGGGTCCTCAAAAGTTTTGTGGAAAAAATGTATTATTAAAAAAGAAACAATGCATGAATTTCAAAATATGTTTGCACCAAACTAAACTTGCCTTTCAATTCAAATTTTCCGTGAACTGTTTTCAACTACGCTTGTATTTACATAACTCCTTCCCACTCTCTTTTGACTTTTTTCTTTAGTTGTGCTCTGTTCACTTCTGAATTAAGTCTGTATGGTCAGAAGTCATTTTCACAAACAGGGTGAAAATGAGAGCACTCACCTTCCCTAACTTTGGTGCCTCCGAGGACTATCGCGGATATGCCAACAGAGGATGACAGCAGCCAAATGCAGATATTGATCATCTTGGCCTTCAAGGGCGTGCGGAAGTCCAAAGCCTTCACAGGGTGGCACACAGCGATGTAGCGGTCTACACTCATCATGGTCAGGGTGAAGATGCTGGTGAACATGTTGTAGTAGTCGATGGAAATGACTATCTTGCACAGCACATCTCCAAATGGCCAGGAATTCATCAGATAGACTGTGCTCTGGAAGGGCATGGTTGTAGTAACTAGAGCATCTGCCAAAGCCAGGTTAAATATGTAAATGTTGGTGGCAGTCTTCATTTTTGTGTATCTAAAAGACAAGAGACAATAGCATTTTCCTCTATCCTCATGTAAAACCCATAAAGTAAATAGCTTTGGATTATTGTCTTTACTTTTTCATTCACTTATCCTTTACATGTTCACTGAGTGTCTAACATGTAAAATAACTGTTCTAGACATTTAGGGTAATAAGAAAAAAGATCTATGACTTTATTTAGCTTTTATTCTAGGACTTTGTTCAAAAATATTTAAATTAAAAAGACATGGAACTGGTTCTGCTGTTTGAGATGCAGGCATCCTACATGCGAGTGCTGGATGGTGTCCCAGCTGCTCTGCTTGGGATCCAGATTCCTGCTAATGTTCCTGGGAAGGCAGCACAAGAAGGCTTAAGGTTTTTGGCCCCTGCCCCTCATCTTATTTGGAAGACCTGCTTGGAGTTCCTGGCTCATGGCTTTGGCATAGCTCAGTCCTGCTTGTTGTAGATACTTGGGGATTGAACCAGCATATGGGGGACTCTGTCTCTCTCTCTTCTTCTCCCTCCTCCTTTCTCTGTCACTCTGCCTTTAAAAGAAGTACACCATTTTTAAGTCAAACAAGATAACATAGATAGATACATAGTTGAATATGCAGAAAGATCCTTTCAACAGACTTGCATGTAATGTACATTTTATTTTGTGGATTACAATTCATTTTGACCCAATGTTGCTCAACTTCAAGCATTTTTAAATACCTTTTTTGCTTTCTTTTGTGTAAGACAATAATAAAACATTTTTTCCTCAGGGTTAGTTTGGAAAATCAATCATTACAACTATAATGTTTTTTAATGCAAATAGTTTTCAATTTTTAAGTGTATAAAATTTCAGTGGCTAAAATACAATTAGGTATATTGATTTTTGTTTGCTACTGTGCCACTGGTTTGTAATTTAAAATGTATTACCTAAACAAAACAGCCTGAGTTCTTCTTATAGCTGTCATAGCACTAAATGTAGTCCAGTAGAGTAGGTGAGAAATAATTCTATCTTTCTTTACTCTTGAGAAATTTTTTAAAAAGAGAAATTTTTAAAATATATCATTTGTCTCATCTTTCTTTGGAAGGTACAGTAATTTTCAAGGTGGATCAGAAAGATTCTTTATAAACTCGAATCATTCTTTCCATTATAACATGAAGTTTAGAACACTTTTCCACCGAAACTGAATTAAAAGGATGGCTTTGTTTAGAGAATGCTTCCTCTGAGATCTATAGAGCTTAAACATTCCAGACTATACCATCAGATTTTCAGAGGTCAAGAACCAAAGTATGTTGGAAAAATCATTATGTTAATTACTTCCTAAATAATTCGGGTTTGTAGACTTTATCATAATTAATTCATCTATGTCCATTCAACACAGAAATTTCCATGTAAAGAACACTTCCCATTTACTGAAAGCGCATCCCTGGCTCCTCTTGGAGGCAGTGTGGTTTAATGTGAAGTCTAACAGTGCTGAGCCGAAATTCAATATATGACTAATTCGTTAAATAAGGACATTAAAACCTAACCTGCAGTACATGATATCCAGGCAGTAGATGGCCTAACCCAAAGTATCTTACCCACAGTATTACACTTTGCCCTCAGCACCCACTAACCCTTCCTTTCCATCCAAGTTTCCCCTTTTCTTCCTCTCTCCTTGTCAGGAAGTGGATGTGTTTGTGATGAGATGGGAAGGCACTGAAACTGAGTCAGGTTGGGAAGATGCCTCATTCAGCCAAACCCCTCCCAACTTGCTTGTATCTACCTCCAGCTCCAAACCAATCAGGAGCATTCATACTCTAACCACCATAAAAGACTCCTTATGCCTAATTAGTGACTTCCTCAGCCAGCTTACAAGCCCACAATAGCCCTGTGAGACCCATATATAATCTTCTTAGGTGGCAGTAGTGAGCAACACTGTCAATTTGAGTGTGTTGTGAAGCAACTGCACCTACACAGAACATGGAGCTGAGTTCAAACTGAAGAACTGTATGCAAAAGAATACAAGGCAGAAACAGAAAAAGCACAGTCACTCCTCCCCAGAACAATAAAAATTCCTGTTCAATTCCCACTGGGGAGCCAGTACCATGCTGTCTCCATTGTGTGGGAGCACAAGCCTCCAGCAAACCTTGTCTGGGTTACATGTTGGTCTCTTGTCAATTCAATGAAAAGGCAGCCAAAGAACTTTGGTCAATATCAAAAACACAGGTATTGGAGTGAGGAGTGAGGAGCTTATGTAAAAATATATTTTGACTGTACATATTTTATTTACACATTATTAAATGACCCATAAGTTTTAAAAAGTGACTTGATAAGTATGGCCAAGTGTCACAGCATAGACTTTCAAAATGCATAGGTATACCTAAGCAAGTGTAGTTACTGCAAAAGAAGTAAATGCTTCTGAGAGACATTGAAAAATGCTACTCAGAAATTATCTTCTTAAATATGTAGTTTTATGTTTGAAAAATACATTTTATAAAACTTATCTTCTACTCTTTCAACTTCCTCCAAATAAAAATCTAGCAAAGATTCCAACAGGCAATATCTTTCCTATCACATCTCATATTTTGTGGCCCTGATATCCCCTCTTTCTTTATGAAGTTATGTTGGCATTCTTTGCTTTATAAAGTCAGGCAGACTTGGGTTCTAGTCCTCATTTTTCCATCCATTGAATGGGTAGACTTTAGAGAGGCCACTAGCCATCCTAAAATCTCAGTTTCTCCAAATGTAAAGTGGAAAATATAATGCTTATCTCATAGAGTTCCAAAGATAATGAACTACAGTTGAGCCATAGAATATGCCTGATATATTTCATTTTCTCATGTGGAGGGGAGCTGCTAACTAGCACAGGAATCAAAGGGAGACATAGTTTCTAAGTCACTGCCATGATCACATTTACCCAATTCAGCTTGAATATAAAAGATGAGAGTAAAAATGAAAGCTGGGACCTTACACACTGGAAAAATATGAATAGAATGATATACAAATTACCATAAAATGTAGTATGCATCTCTGAGTAATCATAAAATGTTGAGTGATAGCTTGTTTCTGGTTTCTCAAAAAATTTCTAAATAACATATGAAAGAAACTTCCCATGTCTTGAATTTACAAATAATTCAAATTCTGTCATCATTGCTCAGAATAAGCAGAGTAAACATGGGCAATAATCATTACTAACTGTATATTTTGAAAAGCTCCCTGTGTTAGGCACTTCGCTGTACTCCTCAGCAGTTTTACTTCTTTAAACCCAAACAGTAAGTCCATATGATAGATGTTAGTTCCTCTGTTCTATAGAAGAAGCAACTCAGAAGGCTGTCCTGAACATTCTCAAAGGGATCCCATGATAAAAAGTTTAGCAGAAATTCAGACCGAAGTGTTTGATCCCTATTGCTGTACTCTTACCTCTACTCTGCCCCACACTTTATAATTTACAAAGTCTGGTATTTGGACTTTTGTGTATGTGTCATACATGATTCTCACAAAGAACCTTCTGGTTGACCCATATGTGTGTCTTTTTCCCCTCACATTTTTGAATAAGGTTATGTTCAGTGCGTTAGGTGAGGTTTGTCATTTCAGCAGAGACAGGACCTCAAGGAAGCTCTGTAAGGAATATCACAGCAGGGACCCTTTTCCAAGGTGCTCAAGGACACATGTTTGTAAGGGGAGAGCTTATGGGTATAAACACAAGTAATGAATAAACTATGAGTTACACAAATATTTGTTGCTAGTCTTTTATGTCTTCACTTCGGGCTGGACCCTGGGAGTGTGTGAACACAGAGCAAGACTCTTATTCTTGGGGATAGTCTGGGTGACCTGTTGGGTCAACTAACCAATAGTAAGTCATTTCATTCATGGTACACTCATGGGTGAAAAAGCAGAAAGTCTTCTTACTATGATAGTATATGAAATCATTTTACATTTCCACTGCTTTACAAAAATCCACAACCATTTCAAGTAAAATGGTTAGAACTCCCATCTGAGTGGGAGTTCTAGCTTATATTGAAAATCTGGAGGTGGGCTGGCAGCAAGTGGCTGCACTTTTTAGCATACACACTGCAGGAGCATATGGCTTGGAAAGAGCAAATTCTGTGGGCTGTCCTTGCTAAACTCGACAATGCTGCAAACCTGGAAAGGATGGTGCAGTGCACTGGGCAGGGAACAAAGGGCAGGCCAGGAAGAGGCATCCACTAGGGAACTTGGGCAGGAGCCACAGTGGGGGATGTTTCAGAGTTAAAAATATTCCCAGGACACGTTAACTCAAGGCCATGATACTGTACTTCCATTTACAGCAAATGGAAGAGTGAACTCAAAATCAGCATCCATATGTGCTTGTGTGATGGTGAGGGGAACAAAGTTATCTACAGAGTTGTCAGGAACCAACATCACCAGGCCAGGTTTCTGGGAGAGCACAACATTTGCCACCCTACAAATGAGGCACCAGAAGGAGGAACACTGACCCTGCAACACAGGCATCTCAGGGCTTCCATCCCCTTCCACCTGGATACTGTACTCTGACAGCACACAAGTACAAGAGTTAAGTACTGGGTTATTAGCAGCCTTTGCTATGGAAGTACACTGCTCAAGTTTGAGTTTTGTTTTGTTAAATTAAACGATGCTTCTTTAATCAGGAACTTCTTTCCATATTCATGACAGCAGTATAATCAAAATTTAATCTATTTTTGAAGGCAGAGCAACAGAAGGAGGAAGAGACAGGGAGGGAGGGAGAGGGAGAGAGAAAGAGAGAGAGAGAGAGATTGTCCATCTGCTGATTCATTTCACTCCCTAAAGGACCACAACAGCCAGGACTGGGCCAGGCTAAAGCCAGGAGCCCAGAGCTCCATCCAGGTTTCCCATATGGATGACAAGGGTGCTTGGGTCATCTACTGTCTTCCTGGGTGAATTAGCAGGTGGCTGGATTGGAAGCAGAGCAGCTGGCACTTAAAACAGCACTCTTACAGGTTTCTGGTGTCACAAGTGGCAACTTAACCTGCTAAGTCTCAACACTGGCCCTATAAAACCCTCA